TTTGGGCGCCAGACCGAACATTCAAATCTGTTTTAAAATCACTTCCCTGCAAAACAAATCGATGGCGGCGGCGACAGAATGAGCTCCAGCTGCATAAACGACATACTTGTCACTTTCTGTTTTATTACAGGCGATTATTTCCCATCATTCCAAATGTCCAGCGGCAGAAACTTAACCCTCTGCTCCTGGAAAACTCGTCTATGAAAACCAAACTTTAATATTGATACCCTGCATTAATATTGATATCTGCCCTTGTCGATGACAGCATGAATTATTTCCTGTCATCCGTAACGGAGAGATGGGATTTAAATAGGAAGCATACATCAGGATGTGAGGCGGTGAGCGTTTGACAGAGATAAGTGTGACAGCCGGGCTGAATTTGAATTGCACAAGCGATAAATTAACTCTTAATGCCCGGGGAAGGAAGCCGATCTCTTGGAACTGATGGAGAGACGCGGCTCCCCCTTACCTTCTTCTCTAAGCAGCAGTCTCGTATTTATGACCAGCTGCAAGCTTTGGAGGGATATCTGCATATTTGTATGAGAGTAGAGTCTTATTAATACTTGATGGGCTCGTGAACATCAGGATCATCTCCTTCACAGAGCAGGTGAAGGAACAAGGAAGGCTCAAGACGCCTGCCGCGTATTTGAAGTCAGTATTTCTCTCATTTAGCGTACCTGTGGAGTAATGCGACTCGACGGGTCTATAGAAGCGCACAGTATGTCGTCTCTTTGAGTTAGTATGTTTGATGTTTAAGGATGTGATGCACGTGCGTCCAGGAGAGCAGCAGTGCTCACTCAGCTCTTTTTAAGACGATGGAGGCAGTTTATATCATCGTATAATACACAGCAGTGGTTATAGACATTTATATCTGACAGACCCCCACAGTACTGAAACTAAACTCAAATCCTCCCCCTCCATTACATCATTCATATAACCCTGGCATGTTATCTTCTAAGTCTGACTACCCATTATTCATTACTTTAAAGCTCCAGTAAGGAACCTTTAGGTTGTGTCTTTTTCTGCGCCCTCTGTTAACATTCAACATCTTGTCCTACACAACCTTAAAGGGATATTCTGGTGTAGAATTAATTTAGGGTCAAACACACCGTAACACTGAGTCAGACACCCCCTCAAGAGATGAATGTTGACATCCGATTGCTTCTCTAGTTATACCAACTTTAGTAACGACCGCACGATAGCAATACACAGCGGTCTGAGGAGCCATAAACAAACCTCAACCAAAACGCCACTCTATAGCCACAAATAATGCTCAGAACAGCACCTAACTTCATCAACAGGACATATAGGGTCACAGCCATAGTACTAGACACCAAACATCCTTTTAACTTTGACTCATTTCTTTAGCAAAGAGACTAAACACAACTCACCTACTCTCCTCCAGCAGCCACTTGTTTGTAGCGAGACCTCGGGCCAGTCCATTACAGACTAAAGCGAGGTGCAGCAGCTCAAGGAAGAACATTTATTTGGTACATTTGGTATAACTAATTTTATGCCAGAATATCCCTTTAAGTAGAGTCCTCTGACCTAAAATCTCGTTATTCTGACTTTTGACATGTAATCTATATATATTTAATGTGGGGGAAAGCTGATTGGCTGACACCTACACTCTCACACCAGATTCAGGCATAAAAAATGACAATGATAAAAATTAACCAATCCTATCACTGATGGTCTTGTTTGCCTTTGTTTGACAGAAAATAAAGCATTTTTAAGAAAAAAGGTGTTTCATTTACCTCAAAAAACTCAAATTACAAAAAAACTACTGGCAAATTATTTATTTCTTGAAGTTGGTTAAGTTTATTTACATTTTTGAAAAGACATGCAAAATATTTTCTGGTGTTAAATGTTACTAAAACCTTGAAAAATGTGGCAGTTTTTATTAAGGTATTAATGCGCTTCCCACTTTTCCGATCACTCTAAGCTAACAATTTCGGTTCACCTTACATATCCAAAAGTAAAGAACTTTTTTCAAATTACATCTAAAAATTTTGCTTACGCTTTGGTACAAATAGCCAAAAAAGTAGCCATTTTTTCTTGATTTAGCTAAATCCGTTAATTAATGTAGCATAATGTAGCTTATTTAGCGAGCTCACTTCTTTGTAGCTGTTTCCATTAGTCAGCCAACAATACACACTTAAAATTGTTGTTTTTTCTTTGACCCTGCTGATTTAGATCAACAATCAGAGTTAAAAGAGTTTGCTATTTCCATCAAAATATGTAGATGTGAAAAGTTGAAGTTGTTGTGTTTTGTGTGTTTTCAGGCACACCAAAGCATCTGCAGAAGAACCGTGTCTCACACTGTGATATAAATGTGCTGCATAACTTTCCAAACATTGAAAAGTAATGATTACACTTTTGCATATTTGCTCCATAACTCCAGAGATAAAGAATTTGGCCACTTAGCATTCATCGTCAAGTGAAGTTATAGGAGGATACTAAATCCTTGTTGTCTTAATTAGAGCTTAATGAAATCTTGCTGCAGGCGCCGGGAGCTGTTTCGTAAGATACATTTGGGAAATTAGTTATTGTTGCGTGAGCTCAAAGAACAAAACCAAACCATTTTTCAAAACAAGAAGTCCATTGAAAGTTGAAATTGAGTTCTTTTTAACTTCATCCCAGGACAGAGACACACTTCATCTCCCATCTCTGTTTCATCTCTGTCAGGGCCTGAAGTAGTCTCATCACCCAGGCACATTGATCGTGTTTTTCCTTGATCACATAAAAATACTCGCAGAGATCCATTCCCAGGCTATCAAAACACTATTTTTATTCTCGTTTGAAAGTTTTGGTCATGTGGATTGATGGACATTTCTAGAAATGCTGCTGTTTTTGTTCTTACTGAACTATGAAACTAAAGCAGAAGAGTAACTTTTAGGACCAAAAGCTGAATGTGGAGGGGAACAGGACTTCCTGAAAAGCCTCAAAAACCACAAGCTCATTAAATAATGTTTTTGTCGGATTTAAACAGTTCCCATCAATGGACGTTTTACATTAAGCAGTTAAGTTGGGTGCACACAAAATAACTGTACATTGTGCACGCAAGATAGCCTGCCTCTGCAAGATAATAATTGTACATTAAAGATAAAATCCGGTGCAAACAAGACGTGTGCCAAAGTGTGCACAAGATTTTAAAGAAAATACCGCCCCACACAATTGAAACAGTCATTTCTGATGTTTAAAACTGAGGTATTGTAGGTATCTGATTGTCCACAGGGGGCGCCAAAGTTGGCATGAACTGAAAGTCATTAGCAGGAGCTTCGAAGAATATAATATTCTAATATTGATGCTGCTTTAAACGCCTTGAAACTCCTTACCCCAAATTTCCACCGTGTCTGAAACAGCTTTGATCAGGCGATTATTCAACGTCCACGGATTCCCACTGGATCCGTTTGTGAGGCGAATTTCATGGCGGATTATGAACAGCGGGGATCACGAGAACTCACAAAAACCCACAGATTCACATGCAATCGCTTGATAACGAGTTGTCTCTGTAAAGAGAGACACGTAACCATAGATTGTGTCCAGAGGTGGAAATCCACTTCTAGACTTTTAGAATCAGCATCTCCATGGTGTCATCGGGTGAAATAAAATAGAACTCTTGCCATCGGCTGCGGAACGGAAAGAAACCAGTCGAAATTGGTAAATTAACTTGAATGGTTACGATCAGCTATGATCAGCGGATACGGTCTTTTCGTAGCTGTTCTGGATGTGGTGAAAACTGGGGGTTACACCTCTAGTATTGGGAGTTATTTCAAGACTTAGCGCCCTGTCAGGTTTATTTATTTAAATCAGTGTTGCCTGATTCTGGAGACAAAGATTTAAATTGCCTTTTTTTGTCGTAAACTGTCAAGTTTAATGAGTCTAAAAGGGTCCATCTCATCTCCCTTTTTAAAACATGTCAGTGTTGGCGTTATCAAAACTAACAAGGGAGAGTTCTGTCAAAAAAATGGTATTTTGTCCAGTTAACGCTCAAAACTGCCGTGACTTAAATGCAAACTTAAGCCACAGTTGTTCTCTCTGTCAAACCCATCCCGCCAAATTAAAGTACTTGCGAACGCATTGAGCCACATCCAATTAGTAAAAGTAAGACGGCTGCAGTGAATCCGGATACAGAGGAATTTTATTTTGTGTCACATATCCATAAAAAGTATATGTAGCGTCTCAGGATGAAAGCCCTCATCGCCACACGCACAAAATGTTTACATTTTGCTCTCATGCTGCTTTCACAAAGCACCGCATGTTGACAAGTTCGGGGAAAAATGTCAAACAAGAGAAAGTCTGTGAGGTTTTGTTCGCCCCCCTGCAGTCTCGGCGTCTATACATCCGCGCTCTCCGTCTGCCTGAAATAGCCTTGTTTTCACATTTAAAGCTGTGTTGTCTGTCAACAGAATGGAAGCAGCCAAACAGAGTCTCAGGCATCTGCCGAGGATTTCTCAGGCCGCGCTGTAAGATCGAGGGGGGAAAGCTAGGAGACGTGGAAAGAGGCAGAAAAAGTAGATTGGAGCTTAAGCCTGGCTCAGATTATCTGAGATGGAAGGAGATGGAAAAGACAGTCGGGGACAGAAATTGAGGTCGGAGATTGAAAGGCAAAAAACAAATGAAGAAGAAGACAAAAGGCAGATCAGTTTGCAGTTAAAAGGAAAACTTTGGTCCCCATTATTCTTTCGAATCACCTTTAAACGTCACATCTGGGGTTATAGGTCTCAACAGAGAACATTTTTTCTGTCTTTAATCAACTTCGTCTACTGTTCCTCCTCGGGGATGTTCCAGGTGGTTTGTGGTTCAATGTGCAGAAGTGCGAGTGAGATGTGGATTAGGTAAGGAGTGAGATAGATGGGCTTTTAATAAAGATTAATTGCATCCCAAATGAGCCGATAAACTCCCCGAGGGACCTCGCCGGAGTGTCTTGGACTATGGTTAATGACGGGAAAAGTCCACCGTTTGCCCGCATGCATCAACAATCGCTTCTCAGACTCCAGAGGAAAGGAGACAACCAGTATGATAATGAATGTGATGCATACAAATGAATACTGATGCCTTAAATGATGCAACAGAAGCAATTGGGATCATCGGCATAAAGATTGATTACACCTCTTTAGTTATTTTCACTGCCTAAGATTGCAGCTGCAGGCTAAGTGCCAGATACAGTCGGTATCGAAATAGCAACCACTTTACGCCTTGGCAAAGGTCTCAAGTGCTGCTTTCAAGATAAATACCTGGTTTTGCCCCGGAAATTTCCCAAATTGCTTGTTCACACGTCACCTTCAGAATAAATTTGTCCATGTTGGACTGGAGGGGGTGGTGGGCAGAGGGGGTTGAGACCTGGAGGGCAGGAGAAAGCAAAGCAAAGCAAAGCAACAGAATCTGATGCTGTAATGACAATTTATGTAATTTTATTTCTTTCTAAATTTAGATCATTTTCAGGTGCTCGCATTCACATGTGCAGCACAATTTCTGAAATTTGGGACTTTCCTGCACCTGTGAATACTACTTATATTTGACGCATTTGACCATGAACAGAAGCAAAATAAGATTTTTTTAATGCAAAAAACAAAATTTACATATTTAAAGGACAAAATCAAACAAGATGCGGTGATCTACTTTGTCCACAGGGGGCGCCAAAAACAGAACAAATGGAAAGTTAATCACGGGCGCTTTAAATGAGTACATATTTTCATTCCCTTTTCATTCCCAGTTCCCATTAGACCAAAGAAATAAATGTCATATTTCTTCAAGGACGGTTAAAATTGAACTTTCTCTGTCTCCTGATTTGTTTGCGCTGATATCTGCCGCTTGTTTTGAATTATTATTGCTTTGCCTGACCTCCTTTTCTCGATGTTGCTGCACCTCAAGCTGTCAGAAACGTTCAGTCAGTCCAAACAACCGAACCAACACCCACAGAAACTGATGATTCAAATCTTTTGTACCCATTTCTCTCCCCTTACATGATATTGTGTCGTCTCCCTCGCCCGCCTGACCTCCTCCGATCGCCCACCTTCCTTCTCATATCCCGCCATCTCCGCTCTGGTAATCTTGCTGTGTTTGCACTCCTTCCAGTCTACCACACAGATCCAGGTAAGGTATGTGTTCAACGGAGGAAAATGACTGACAATGTGAGATGAAAAATCTTGTGGGGTGTCAAGGCTGGCTTAATGTAAAATTCGATCGAACCTGGAGTGTCCCGAAGATTAATAGCTGCCATTATTCATACTTGACTCAAGGTGCTCTGTGAGTGTTGTTTATCTGAGATTGTGAATGTGTTTGTGTGGATAAAAGAGATGGAGAGGTGTGGGAAGAAATAGTTCCTCTTGAGGCTGTGCTGCTGATAGACACTTTCTGGTGATAGTTGAACAAAGAATGTGATTTAAGGACGCACTCCTGCCTGCAAAAGTTTGGGGAAACTTCATTACCTTGCGTGCTGAGGTCAGGATTTCAGAGTGGAAACACAAGGTCGACTGTAACATTACATCTGAGGCGTCTTCCTCGCTCCTATCACTTCCAATTTGCTTGATACAAGAGAGCTTCTTCCTCCCTCTGCTCTGGAAGATAATCGACAATGAAATTAAGTGGCGGCGGGCTCCCGTCAGTGGGGGATTGAGGAGGATGCGACAGCTCAGGGACTGATGGAAGATAATTGCAGGACACGGTCACTATCCTCAGGAGACCCAACCATGTCTGGAGCTGTGAGTTGAGTCATGTATAAGGGTGCAGACACTGAGCAAAGAGCTAGGTCAGGCAGGTCATGAAGCCCAGATCCAGTGCTGTATGTGTTGTCACTGATGCTTTCATTGTTCTGTGCCTTTAGGAGACTTTTGCCAATGCTCTACCTTCATTTTCATGTGCTCTCCCAACCTTGGACTTTGGTGCTCCATGAAAGCACATGGAAGGATCGGGACTATCGGTGCAGTCCTGTACATCCTAATAGAAGTATTTTTGGGTGCAAATTTGAGCTCAATCAGTTAGTTAGCATCTCCTCTCTTTGCACACTGACTGTCGGCACACACCTAACGCAAGTAAAATCATTTGTGCAACTGAATTACATATTGAAAGAAATATTCCAGCGTAAAATTAATTTAGAGTCAACACAACGTAACGTAACACAACGTCGCTGACCGCTTGCGATACCAACTCTAGTAACTACAACAAGTTCGCAATACACAACTAACTCAGTCTTATCCTTTTGAGTCAATGCTAAGACGCAATTAGACACTCCTATTACTCTGGCGGCGCGAATAACGCAAATTAGGCAGGAGCAGAAAATGTCTCAACTTGAGTGGATATTTGCGTCCCGTTGCCCCCAAAACCAGAACAAAAAGGAGTTTGACTGGAGGCAAGTGAGGAGGTCGGATTATCTAGTAGATTGTAAAAAACCATGGTGTATCGTTAGCAATACAGTACTAACTCAGTGTTATCCTTCTAAGTTAATGCTAAGACGCATTCGGACAGTCCTACTACTCTGGCAGCGCGTATGACGCAAATTGGGCGGGAGCTTAAAATGTCTCAACTTGAGTGGATATTTGCGGAGCTCGCCTGGAGGCAAGTGAGTGTGGAGGTCGGATTACCTGGTAAATTGTAAAAAACCTTTGTCTATCACTTGATCCAGGTGGCAGGGATTACCATTGAAATTACCGTTGACATTCAAATGAAGTGAGTAAATAATATTCATTTGCAAATTGAGCAAGTAGGTGATTGTACCTGCGCTTCCGTTGACGTGCGAATGAAGTGAGTAAATTCACGAACTGAGCGAGTAGCTTGATGTGAGCGCCCCATTAGACATGTTTGAACATCCCCACCACCCTGGAGATATACCGTGTCCTACATATACGCACTTATCCGATTGTGACGAATCACATTCTCCGCACCAGAGGAAGAAACAAACCCACAAACACGGAAACCCGACTTTACTTTCATGTTAGCGGGTCGCTTCATTTCATCTTTTCTTCTGGCGTATCTGTTGTCATTCCAAGCGAGGCGTCTGTTCAAGAGCTGGCAATTTGATGCAGTTTAAGCCGACAATTTGCATGACACTGAATTCAATAGCTTGACATTAGTGTTCTTTTATTCATGTGTTGCTTTTTCCTTGAGAGTTGATTGCACATTAGGATAACACCAAACACCATTTTGTTTTTTCAGCGTCTCTTGTCAGCGCCCGGCAGCCTGACTAAACACAGTTAAAGACCAGTGTCTGTCAGCGCTAATTATTCATGCAAATAGGCCCAGCTCTGTAATTACAGCCTGTCCACAGTATAAACACATGCATGCACACGCAAAACGAGGTCCACCCGCCACCCGGGGTAAGATAGCATCACTTTGTTTTTGAAATGATGATTGTGACGAAGGATAAAAAGGTCGACATTAACACCACAGCTCTGTTTTACACATAATAACAGTGTTTAGTCAGGAAGAGAATAGAGGTAATTGTCACTCAGTTTTCACCCATCCTAACCCTCGACTCAATATTCAATTATGCAACATTACTCCAGAGAGGAAGAGCACATTTTGTTCATTTTACTAATAAAGGGTGGCATACTCAATTGAAATAAATGATAAATGTCTGTGTAAAATGTAAAATATTGGCATTATGCTAAAAATAAGCTTGTTGTTACACAGTCTAAGAATTAAGTAGGGAAGGTGAAGAAGCAGCAGCAGCTCGTGAGCTAGCTGTAGCATCACTCTAAAAGATGGTCAGATACTTCTAAAACTGATGTGAATCCAACAAGAGTGTACGAAACCGTCCATTTAGCAGTTTTCGTTTAGTTCTGCAACTTCCAATCCGATGCAGACGTTCAAATTTCAAAATAAAAGCATGATTCCAACATAAAGGAACGAAAGCAACCTCAATGCAAAAATGTCAAAATAAAAGCATCACGAGAAATTATTTTATTATCTTCATGCAAGAATGAGAATTTCATATATAGGTGAAGTTGAGAAAGCCTCACAGTTTGTCTGTTTTCAGTAAAAATGCTGAAATTTTGATGGTTCCCTGATTGAGGTCTGGCTTGTTTACTGCTAATGCTGAAACATTTTAAGACACCACAGTTTATTATCCGTGCAGCTTTACTCGTTATTTTTTAACTCCTCTTCATTTCGCATCTTAAATCGGTGTAAAAAACATCTTTAACTTTACTTCTCATGACTTTTCAGTGAAAGCGAGCGTCTCAGGAGGGACGGCGAACAGGTGCGAGCTCAGCTGTGGGGGTTAAACATGTAGGTGGAAAATCGAATCAAGCATTAGTCAAAACAAGATATGTTTTGTAGCTGCAATGCATTCTGGTCCACTGAGACGACTCTGGGATGAGAAATTGGTATCTGTGCCTGTGCTGTGATAGATTCCTCCCCGTGGGACGGCTGATTGTCAGAGCGAAATGGTGCAGCTGAAGAGGGAATCTCACTCCGGGGCTCATATTTACCCGCATCCAGGAAATCCAGGAAGTGGTTTTCATGTGAGTGTTTTTCCCTCTGCTCATATTTTGTCCAGTTAGGGGTGAAGTTTGCCAGAAACACACAAAAGAGGTCTGAAAATCATAGTCGGCATGATTTTTTTGTCACGGGGCCGTATGGAGCTCATACTGTTGATTTACACGGACACAAATCATATTTTCTTCTATGAGTATGGTCTTCCGTCAGAGTAGACGCTCTATTTGCGGTACGGTGAAAAGCAGGAAGTCGAGGATAATTCTCTTGATTTCCCTCGTGTTGCATTTCAGAGGTTATATCGAGAAACGATTGAGTCAGTGACAGAAAAAGAGCCTGCATGTTTGAATTCAGCGACTAGTTTGTAGAGTACAGGCTGGCCTTCAGGGTCCTGGTTTACAGCTACAGCGTGCACACCTGTCACTCAAGGCGGCCCCACCCCTTATTAGGTTTTGGGAAAATTCACTTATTTATAATTTTTTTTAAAGGCTATTATACATATTAAATTGTGATGTAAAGACGAACATTTTCTTTTAATAATCAGATTTTATTTTATTTTCAGAATTTATGTAGAACCATACATCAATTTAATTCAAATTAGGTAGAAAATGACAAGAAAAATAAAGAAGGGTAAACAAAGAAAAACAACAACAACAATTTCTTTTCAATTAAAGAAATATGTGTCCTTGTATAAAGTATTTTTTATCATTAGCTCAGTCTGGGACCCTCTAAACCACCGTCTCCCCTCTGTTTAGTTTCATTTGGACTTTAGGTAAGTAATTCATAAGAAGCCGCCATGTGTCCATAAAGATTCACCGGTATATCCAACATGGCCGACCGGCTGATTGTTTACGTGTCGGAGAACAGAGTGCTGTTTGATAAATACACAAATATTACAAAGATAACGACCTGAAGGACAACTTGTGGAGAGTCATAACGTCGGATTTCTCATATGACGATGGTTTGTGTGCTTTAACAGTTTGATAAACGTCTGTTTCAACTTTCATCTGTGCTAAGTAACTTTAGCTCGTAAGCTAACCTGTTCAGATACAACATACCATACAGACATCTCAACACTAGAGTCTAATCAGAACTGAAAACACTCAGTCTGCTGTTGTGTCAGTCTTCTCGGGGACGCGTTTTTTTTCCCCCCGGAAAGTCAGACGCGTCAAAATTTGCCTCTGAATATTTCGTAATTTTGCGTTGTATATTTGCGTCGGTCCCGGTGTTTAAGGACCTTTACAGTGGGAGTTTTGTCGTTAGTCCAGTTAAATAGTATACATTTTCAGGCCAAAATTAAGAGTTTATAAAGTAAATTTGATCTTCTCACATCCATAACTCTATTTGTAGTTGGCAGCCCCAATAGAAACTGTCTTGGATCTTTACAGATCCTGTTTTTGAATGTTGCTGTCCCTTCCTTCGATACACATGACCAGAACTTTGATATTCTTGGACAGCTCCAGATGGAGTGTATATGTGTTCCATCTGTTTACTTACATTTAAGGCACAATGGTGATCTATTTGGGTCCATTTTGAGAGTGCTGAGAGTGTGTGGTCTGAATACATCCCTCCCAAGCATCTTCATTGTATTCACTTTGAAAGTCCTCCTCCCATCGCTCCACAAGCCCATCAGTATTGTGTTGGCTATTATAAAAGTATGTAAAGATGAGCATTTTAACATGAGTGCTTACAGAGATTTCTTGACTTTTGAAGCCAGCCTCTAGTGGACACTCTGGGTACTGCGTTTCGGCCTCCATCAGCTTCATTTATCTTTATTATTACTCTCTTTGTGTTGAAAAATAAATCTTGTTTTTCTAAATGATTTTGTCACATTGGCAGCATTTGGTCCCCGCTCTTATTTCCATGTGCATGTTTTTCCAAACAGCCTCACTGGTGGGAAATTAGGTTTTTTTCTCGCTCATTGTTATATTTCAACAATGAGAGTATTGTGCAGAAGAAGAATCCATGAACACAGGTGGTAAACAGCAGCTGTTACTCGGCAGGAAATCACTACATTTTCTGCAAAGAGCTGCTATTCCTACAAATTGCACGTTTCATTATCAAAGGCCGGGTAACAGCCTGATGTGAATGCGAGTGTGTGTGTGTATGTGTGTGTGTGTTTTGTCACACTTTTAAGTCCGTTTTTTCACACCTCACTTAGCTGGATTTCAGAGTCGGGTTGCATGCCAAAAACTCAGCGAGCCGGGTGAGCATCAGCCGAGCTCACAGGTTGTTCAGCTGAGTATCACGGCAAGGTCAATCATCGCCTCATTTGCCGAAAAGCTATTTGCTAATCCTGCTAATGGCTTCGTTCAGAGACTGTATCTGATGGAGGATGCGCGCTCAGGCTGCGTGCTCTTCAGACGGCAGCATGTTAATGTTGTCTTTTGATTATTTCAAGGGGATTGAACAGAGAGAGGGATTTCTCCGGGACGTCGGGTTGGAGGTTTAACAAATCTCATAAGGTTACAGGAAGGTGGCTGCTTCGGTTCCCCGGAGCAGCAGCTGCATCAACAATGAGCCGGGGTGTGTTTTAATATGGCCGTCCACGCCGCGCTTTTACTCATCCCTGAGGGGACATCTTCTTACGGCCGGGGTCAGCGGGGCGAGACCCCAAAGAGCTCGCAACCTGGCTCCGGATCATCTCTTTGAATCGGGATCATCCTGTTTTTCTAATGAATTAGGAGATGAATCATGGATCTCCGAGAGAAACGTGGCAAGGTCAAAGAGCCGCCGCGGCGCACACAGATGTGTTTCGGATGTGATGTGGGTGAAAATCGGCCTGCGTGTTTACAGAGTTCACATCTTCAACCTCAGATTCATGTTGGGATGATTTACACAAACAACTGTGAGTGATTCAAGGCAGCGGGGGAGATTTATTCATAAATGCAGCTCAGCATATTAGAAAGGTTCACTTCTTTGCCCTGGGATGAAATAAAACACCAGAAAAGCCATTATACAGAGTAATAACACAGATTTAAAGAATCATACGAACCTTCAATTTAGAAATTTTGAATTCAGGGCGATAAAGGTCCACGCTTAATGCAAGCTGAGCTGCTTACGCTGCCTCTAAAAAGCCTCCGCAACTTGCCTGCAGAAACTCTAATTACCACTTGAATGCCTCAGTAATAGATAGGCTTACCCCAGGCCTGCCCCCCGCGCTCCCGGTGTAACAATACTTGCTGGTTATAATTTATAATTTACGTCTTGCTTTTTATAATTGTGATTTTTATCAGCTGTATTCACCGTTTCAGAAAATGTACCCGCTGAGATAAAGAGGAAATTGAGTTCTGCGTTTAATAGAGGCATAAAGTCATTCATCGGCGTCTTCGAATGCTTCTCGCCACGTGCTGAATACTCGATGCTCTCCTTCTTTCACAATGCAGGACATCTGAGGGGTAACCTTGGAGGTGCACAGAGGGTTGAAGGTTTTATCTTTGAATTGAAACTGTTGGTGAATGTTATCGTCTTTGGCGATAATGTCAGTCATTTGATTTGGTTATCTCTGAATATAAAGGCTGTAGTCGTGTCCTCTACGACCACGATTGGTAGTGACGTGTTACAAAAGCCATCAGAAAAGCCTGAACGGTGCTCCTTCATTTATATCTGGAAATATAAGAGGAGGCGTCTTGGTCTGGATTAAACTGAATCAGGGTCTGGTTGAGAGCATTATTTCGAAAGGTTCTGACCTTCGCACCAAGAATTGAAAAGACATGCGGAGTAGAAGCGTTATTATGTTGAATGAAGGTTTTCCAAGATCAGTAAATTCTATGATATTGTGGATAAAGTATTCCTCACTATTGACAGCTTATATTTTCAAGAGTTATATAACATTGGTTTGCAGGATTGAATACTTTCTTCTCCTTTCCTTTCCTGACAACTCAGACCCGCTTTGGGTTCAGCTCTTCAAGTTGTCGCTGTTCGTAGTAGAAAATCAACAACATGATGGTGAGAACGACGATTTTATTCATGTTTACATTATTCGAGACGCGCGCTTTTCCGTGCGTTGATGTCAGACGCCCGCCAATCAATACAGAGACATTCAAAGTATGTAGTTGATGAGGATATCACGTGAAGTCTGTTAGTCTGTTTGCAATCATGACAGTGAAACCTAAATAGACCGAACCTAGAGTGTACCATGGAACAAAAACACAGATCTTGGTCTGGACTTTCGGATGTATTCAGAGTCCACAATGGGTAGTTTCTGTGCAACTGTGAAGCTCCTTTAAAGGGATATTCTGGCAAAAAATGTATTTAGGGTCAAACACACTGTAACTCCGAGTTAGACACCCCCTCGAGAGATGAATGTTGCCGACCGCTTGCTTCTCTAATTATACCAACTTTAGTAATGACCGCACGATAGCAATACACAGTAGAGGCCATAAACAAACCTGAACCAAAACGCCACAAATAATGCTCAGAACAGCACCTAACTTCACTACTCATAGTAATAGATAGATAGATAGATAGATAGATAGATAGATAGATAGAACTACTGTAACAATATTTACACTAAATAAAGAATGAATAAAAACTGTCTATAAACATGACCATAAGGCAGTAGTGCATTTATGATCATTTATTTATCATTTCCTAATCATTTTGCTCTGGTAGTTTTTCTGCCTTAGTTTCTCGGTCTGATTGCATTTCCATGAAGAAATGATCATAAATGTTCCTCCTTGAGCTGCAGTCTGTAATGGACAAACAAGCGGCTGCTGGAAGAGAGTAGGTGAGTTGTGTTTAGTCTCTTTGCAAAAGAAATGAGTCAAAGTTAAAAAGATGTTTGGTGGCTAGTACTATGTCTGTGACCCTATATGTCCTGTTGATGAAGTTAGGTGCTG